TACTATATGCTGTATATATATATACAATGGCTTCGTTATACGAGAAAACCGAGAATACCTAGCACAACGCGTGATTTTGTTCGGAAGAAATAAATCCACGGCGATCGCATGCCCGTGATCGATAGAATATAACTGTTCAGCAAAAAAATAGTTTTGCAACTGTAGTTATAAGAGTCTTTAATATGATTGATTTATACGTTTAGACCTAATAAGAAAGGGCAAGACTATATTAAAGAATTTTACATTTGCAGCCAAATAACAGAAAGCTGCTTACATAACGTAAAATATTTATGTGAATATTTTTTTAAATATTTCAATAAAATATTTCAAAAATATTTTGTAAACATTTGCAAAACACTTTAAAATATTGCATTAAAATATTTGCACAAAAATATTTTAAAAATATTATATATATATATAATATATATTTTAAAAATATTTCATGAAAATTTCTAAAATATTTCAAATCACGCAATAAAATATTTCTGAAAATTGTCATGCTGTGTAAGTAATAAAGAGCGTTCAATAATTCTCTAATATGATTAGACTTTACACTTAGATTCAGCGAAGAACTAAAGGCAGCTAATCATATTAAAAAAGAATTAAGCACTCACTGATCAGGTTTCTCTGCACGTAGCTAATGCAGTTAACTCAAGATGTTCCGTACATACCTGGCACATATGATCGACACAGTCATCCAAGTTTGTGGAACAATTGAGGCCGGTGAAGCCGACTGGGCATTCGCAGCTGTAGTGGGTCTTGTGGTCGACGCATCGACCTCCGTTCTCGCAGGGGTCGTGACCCTTTGTGCAGAAGGGTATCTTCTCCTCGCAGTATTCTCCCATGAATCCTGGGGTGCAGTCGCATCGATAGGCCTGTACGAGGTCGACGCAGGTTGCGTTGTTAGCGCACCTGTTGTTGGCACAGTCGTCGACGTTGCTTTCACATCGAAGTCCCTTGTACCCGGGGGCGCAGTCGCAACTGTCACACACCGACTGAACGTCAATCGAGACATTGAGCCTGACATGCGATCGCGGTAGATCCGCCAAAGGTACCTTACCACGGGTGATAAACCGCCGACATTGCTTCTCTCTTTCCTCGATTTCTACGCGTTTATAGCGCGTATTTGATAATTAAATGCTTCTACCGAGGAATGATAGGAAAAACAAATTTGGAAAATTTGAATGATGCACTAATCTTTAGAAAAGAAATTATAAGTTACATAATGCAATTCTATTCTTTAATTCAGAGTAGGCTAAATATATAATATAATTTAATTTTAAAATAATTAACTTGTATATTAAATAAATAATTATTACGTTATTGAAATCTATTTGTGTATAATTATTACTATAATTTTAAATTGTTATCATTGTCTTTAATATATAAGCAATAAAGACGAAGACAAATATTGTACAGAATATCGTTAGAAATAAATATGAATTTTAGACTTGCAATCGATCTGACATGTATACGCTCTCCGTGCAAAAGTTCGGTTCTTCGATTTTTCGATAATCGCAACAAGTAACGCTCTCTTATGAGCAGGTTATTGACAGCGCCGTCGGCAGTTTATAGCCTGCAGTCGTCACTCCTCGGGGCTCATGTGCAGAGGGTCCCGTTTATTACGCGTGTTGAGAGCTGGAATTTGACGAATGCTCCGATCGTGTTCCACTTCGGGCGTCACTTTAAGCAGCCCGACGCGTCGGAGTTGTCAAAATATCATAGCAACTTAGAAAGACAATTTTTTATTCAGTAATATTGTCAAATTTAAGCTTCGAGATGCAATGTTCTATATATGTATATATATAATCATATCGTGCATATTTACATCTACTTTGATGTTCAAACGAAGATGTTCAAGGAACTATTTGGTTCACGTGAAATAATTTTGGCAACGTGCAAGTTCTACTAATATAATATCTACGAAATTGTTATAATAAAGAGAATCAATGCTTTCGAATTATAAAATTGTACAAATCTATATATTTTTAACACTACTCAGCAATATTAGGATTCTCTCTTTTGGTGAATCTGAGATTACTGTTTTAAGGATAAATCTTTATATAACTTTATATTTTCTTTATATAATGAATAACTTATACTATTTTCTTCGTTTAATCTATATATATAACTTCATATTTAACCCTCCGTGAACTAGATGGGGAGTGACTTAACAAGATAAATTTCTATAATTTTCCTAAAAAGTACCGCACGCATATTGCCGGTTTCATGCAAGAGAGAGAAAGAGAGAAAGCATTGTTACCAATCACACTAAATTACTATATAGTATATTTATGATGAATAGCGTAAGGTATGAGATACATCCACATGATACATGTTGATTTTTCACCTGATTCGCGGAAGGTTACAAATTTTATATTGTCACTGTTATCCTTTACTTGATCGAAATTTCTTCTCTTAAGACAGTAATCAAAGCAATTAAAAAATTGGTAGGCTTATTTTAAATTATTAGTTTGATCGCACATTTGTAAACGCGATATAATTTCGTAACAAAATTTATGAAAATTCAAGCAAAAAGACTAACGTACAAAAAAAGATAAAAAAATTGCAAAAGTCGACAGAAATTTTGTCTATCTCAAATATTGTCTAGATACAGCACGATGCTATTGCAAACGTTCTACGGGTTCCACTGGACGAGCAACTCTAAAGTCAGCCCGACGAGCTACTACTCTGATCAAGGTTGGACTGTCGCACTTAGTAAGTACCTGAATCTTCCTTCCTCCAGTACTTTGCAAGTTCCGGAGTTCCTGCAAGGATTTCCATAGCACGCGTCAATTTTATGCTGACACCGGTCCCCGTGATATCCTGGCGTGCACTTGCAACGGAACTGCCGGTCCGGAAGCGCCTCGCAAAATCCTCCGTTTTCACATGGCGAGGTGTAACACAGGTCGCACTTGGCCAAGACTTCGGCTGGCTGCTGCTTGGCTGCGCGGAAGAAAGGTCTACGATTAATGAGTAATTTTAGTACTCTACCGTGATGTTGGGCCAAAAAACCACGAACTAAACAGACTGCGTCGCGTTGTACTACGAAAAATCAAAAACATCGTCACGTGCGACAACCAGTATGCGATTGCGGATCAGTAATGGCCAAGCAGCCAGAGGAATTCTTTTTGTTACTTCTTATAAGAGGCTACGAAGTATACTAAACAATGTTAAAAAACAAAAAATACTTCTTATGTCTAATAAAAAAATCGATATTCAATGACCCATTTATAGCAAAGTCGAGGATCTCATGATCTATATTTCCGATTTCAATGATAAATATTCTATTGAGCGATATTAATGAATGTTAATGAAAATTTAAGTATAAGAATTGAAGTCAAAATTGGATGTATTATAAACGATCGCACGTTTCTATGTTACTGTATCAATAAAGCATTGATACGCGATTCGCGGACAGCAATTTATTTAGCGAAATTTGCAGATGGAATCTCTTGGCTATTCTGCCCGCAATCGATATATACGCTTATGAGATATTTACTTTTGCATTGAAAGGCACTAGCCGGTGTCGTCAAAAGCAATTTGTCTCTCATCGCAGGAGGTTCCATGCACCTAGCGATGCCAGGCTCCACATAATCTTTCTTCACCCACTCGGCCAACCATCGCATGCTGCAATCGCAGTAAAGCGGGTTGGACCCCAGGGCACTGTAAACATCGTGATCGATAAATGGCTGGTATCGAAAATCAAGTGTGTGCAGCTTACGAATGGAGTGATACTCACAGATGTGTTATAGACTTGAGATCCTCAAACGCTCCCTCTGGGATGACCGATATGTCATTACCATGCAGTGAACTGAGAAGAGCAATAAAATTATAGTGCATATGTTTATATTATAGTGTAGAAAGATTTTAATTTGTCATTTTGTTCGATTAAAATAAAACTAGCTTAAATTAAAAATTTATAGTCTGATAATCGGGTCTGATAATCGACAAATTTAAGATTAAAGTAGAATAATCGTTTGATTATTTGATTTCTAATATATGATATTTTTTTAACTTATAAATTTATTATAAATAATTACGTATATTAAATAACTTCATTTTAGTCGTGTAAAATGTTGAGTATCAACAATAGCAGATTGTGTGATTAGTACATAAATTCAAGGAACAAATATTTTCGCAATAAAAGAATATGTCATGATAACGTTAGTTGAGTATTTGCATACAAGACTCACATTATTCGCAGATTCTTCAATCCCGCGAGAGCATTTCGTTGTACACACTGTAGCTTGTTGTAACTAATGATTCTGCAAAAGAGATTCGTATGTTGTACATTACATAAACAGTTTCGCAAGTATCTCCCGAGAATTTCCGGAGTAACGGAATAAATATTCGACTTACAGATGCGACAGCTTCGTAAGATTTCTAAAGGTATCATTGGACAGCATTCCGATCTGGTTGTTGCTCAGATCCCTGAAAACGAAGCGGATGTTAAACATGGCGAAAGCCGCTTGAAAGATATACGGGAAGGTGCGCGCGTGTTTTATTTACAGTCTGGTGAGAATCCTCAGGTGGTTCAACCTCTCCGGTTGGATCGTCTTGATGTCGTTCACGTCCAAATACAGCTCGGTGGTTTCCGGTGGAATCCCGCGTGGAATCTCTGTAAGCTGAGACCTCGAACATCTCACCACCGAACCCGCGCAATTACATTGAGGCGGGCAGTAATCGTCACCTAGGCAACCCACGCTGTCGTCTGATGGGTGTAAAATAGTTGGTAGATCGTTAACAGGATTTGCAATTCAGATTACAAATATTAGTTTGTGAAAACGTATAAAGATGCACAGCGAGAGTAACTAACTTATTCGTGAAAATTTTTTTTCGTAGTGCAGGTGATACGTAAATCAAAGGCACGAAATACGCTCGAAATACGTTGCTCGCAAATTCAGATTTAATTAATATGTTATATTAATTTCGATTCTGTATACGTACGAATCGATTTACATGCAAATCAATGCTATCGATTTCACATGAATATTTGTACTCTATTTTGAATTCATAGCAATCGATAACCATAAAGCGCAATAGTACAAATTGCGAGAGTAAGATATACAGGTGCTACAAGTGACCAAAATTGTACAATAATGTATTAAACGCACTGTTGCATTTGAATTCATGGTGCGGAATATCCTTGATGATGGCATCCTTTAATCGCGGTGGATCGTGACAACGGCCAGTGATTCCGGCTATATCTCGTTTCCTCAACCATCCGGCGAACCACGCGAGATAGCAGTTGCACGATAGTGGGTTACCTTGCATGTTACTGCAGATACCGAAAAATATATCAAACGATATAGTAACAATAAGGAGGCAGTAACACGAAGATTATACTCTGATTATTAAAGCTGATATATAATTATTTTAAAGATATATTAGTATAAATTTCCTCGACTATTTAACTGCTTGCATTTTCCATAAAGAATAATAAAAAATAAAAGAATATAACACAAAAAATATGAAAAAATTTAATAACAATTTTTATACAGTACAATCTTACTGTAATTTGATTCGTTAATTAGTCACGAACTTACATGGCGCGTATGTGCGGCATTCCGTCGAATGACCCTGGCATAACGCATGTGATGGAATTACCATGGAGATTCCTACGTAAAGTGAATTATGCGAGTAATCGTTTACTGCACGATAGCGTTTTATCAACGCTAAATGGTACGTTTGCCCAACGAGGTACTTACAGTGTTTTAAGGCTCGGTAGGCCAGAGAACATCTTGTTGTGCACTTCTCGCAGCCTATTCTCGGACAAAAGCCTGCGAAAAGAAAGCTCGTCATATCGTGAAACGAGGCGCACGGACAAAATGGAAAGAGATTGCGAGCTAAGTCGTATTACGATTCGTCGTCACTTTTTACGAGTCGATAAATATCATTCTTTGAGCCAACGAGATAGATACACGCATTATGAACATTATGAAAGTACACGGAGACGTTTTAAACGTGATACACCATTTGATGTGTAATTTTATATTCTTTAAATTCCGAACATAACGTCCAAAAGCGTTATTCGACTTCGAAGTGTCTTCTTGAAAATATAGCTATTAATTATAAAGAATATTTATAACCCATGTCATATATTGGATTACCTATAAATCGCAAGCAATAAATGGTGGTAAAATGGCTGATATATTGCAAGCTCAGTTCCTGTATGTCATCTAATTTCTCATGGAACGATAAAATATTTTTATGAAACAGATATGCTATTATATTATCAATCTCATATATTAAAAATATTTCTCGTAATCATAATGTGCAAGTGAAAAATAAAAATTAATACACAGTATTGAAAAAACCTTATTGATCTGTGAGCTGGATCTTAAATAATTTTAATATGAATATATATATATATATATATATATATATATATATATATATATATATATATATATATATATATCCAGTTCTATAACTGCACGCCAAAATTATTTTCATGTCTTTAATCTTATTTAAACCAAACTGGGATAGTAACACTATAAATTAAATTGCCAGTTAATTTAATAATATTGCTAATAAGCGTAAATAGCAGTAAATAATTCAATGCTAATTTAATGCTAAATTATTTACAGCTTTTTCAGATGCTTATTAGCATCAAATTATTTACAGTTGTTTAGGATACCTATTAGTATCAATATCATTAAACTACTTGGCAATTAGTTTGTGGTATTACTACTCCAGTTCGGTTCAAGATTGCGTTTTAAGACTGAAAATAATTCCAGCGCGCAGTTGTAGAACTGGCTATATGTACATTTACATCAAAATATGTATTATTTAAGCATTAAATCAAGTTCAGGTTGATAAGGTTTTTTAATTATTATGTTTTTTTTTGTTAATTATTATGTATTCGCATCGCGGTCTTTTGACACTTTTGTTTAAAAATTAATAGCTGCAATTTAGTTCAGCAAATTGCGACACGCAATCAACAAACACTATACCGCTCAAGTCTTTGAAAAACCGGTATTGTTTTAATAATTGTCTTCAGAGACAATGCGATCTTCGAAAATTCCTCGAGAGAGATTTTCTAAAGTTGGAAATATCAACTATAGAAGAAAACCGCGCAAAGAAAATAATCCTGGCGTTACACAGCGGTATTTCTAGAATGGCTTCTATTGTGCCGGCAAAAGCGAAGTTTTCCAGAAAGACAACGACGATGACGACGACAATGTGCAAAGAAGAAACAGGTTGGGGCTATACTACGAAAACGATATAATTCGAAACTTGTAGTGACTTACAGGTCGGTGAGATTGTGAGCCCCTTGAAAGGCGGACGCCTCGATGCGGGAGATTTTATTTTTCCTGAGATCCAGATGCTGTAACTCCGGCAACTTCTCAAAAAGGCCGTCTGCTTTGATCTTGTCCAGTTCATTGTTGCTCAACAACCTGGTGTGAACATACAAGTGGAAAGGAATGCAAGTAGAACGAAGTCGCGACTGTCATACTGTCAAAACATGCATGCACGTTCGCGATATGCATGTACGGTCAGTTTGTTACTCGACAACGTAAAAAAAGCGGCAAAATTGGTACTTTCTGTTCGTTACTCTATCACTTGTTTTCGACTACCCACCGAGCAATTTATTCGCTACCGCGTTATAACAATGCGTCGCTCAATAAATTTTGCGAATTGCGCGTTGGAATAACTCTCGAGCAGAGAAATTGGTGCATTGCAGAATGTTCGCACGATATATATTGAGCAATAGTGTAACTTGCAGTTGATTGTTTTGCTTCGTTGGTAATTAATACGTTCTAACGTTCGGATAAAACTATTAACTTCGGATTTATCGAAGTACAAAAATGTTCCATGCCTGAAATAGAATGAAATAATAAATTGCTGTAACAATTATTAATAACTCTGCCACTGTTTTATTTTTAAACTGTATAGTTTTAAAATTCTTAAAAAGGGAAATTTAATCACAAGCGAATCGATAAATTTTTATACTGTTATTTATAACGTACATTGATAAATTTGAATACAAAATACAAATAAGGTAGCAAAGATAAAAGCTAAAAACCACGTATTATAATATATGTATTATATATATTATATATGTTATATTTCTTTATAAGGGCTAATATATTGATTATTGAATGATATTGAGAAATTAATTTTTTTAATAAAACGTCGATCCATTGAACAAATCAGATGCGTAATTTACTGCGAATAATAGTCCAATCTCATTGTTCTTTTCCCATTGCACTCTACGATTTAATCAGGTGATTATCTGGTTCAACGATCGAATTAATATTCGAACTGAGCGACGAGAATTCTCTACAGACGAGTAATATTCATCCTAACCACTCGTCTGGACCGTCTCGACCAATCGATTGGCTTGTCCAATACTCAACAATTTGAAGTGAATATTTTCTCATGAAAAAATAATAATCTAGAATGCATATTTAATAAAATGTTACACTAATTGTAAAATAATTGTAAACTAGAAATATATTATAACTATTTATTGGAAGCCAAAATTGTAAAACGACGTATCAATTCAAAATGGATTAATGATCTTTACTATATAGTTCTTTTTATTTTCACTATCATTACTTAGTTTAATTATACGAGCAATTGAATCATACTTTTTAAATTATTTGAGATTATCTTTT